ACTTATAATTCGTTCTGAATAACAGAAACATACTATAAAAGTTTGTCAAAACTGCCTTAAAGTGTCAACAAGTAATAGTAAAGCAATATAGATCGTTCAGATAATTAATTTAGTTAGAATGGTCACAAGTAGGGTCGGGTCGGGATTAAAATGTTTTAGTATTAAAGCTATATCGGTAAYAAGATTATTAGAGTAAAACAATGATAATTGGCTTTAATAAGGACTATTATTTAAACTTCATGCGTATTTAAGGGCTAAAAAAGGTTTAATTAAAAAGATAGTACTGAGTAAGTAGCATTCTAACGTCTCCTCCCCTCCCCCCTCAGTCCCCCCTCATCCCCCCCCCCTTTATATAGGACCTCCCAATTCCTCTCCTACTCTTCATTCGCGTAGTAAATRCCAACATACCGCTTGATAAGTCGAGTGACCTTAACTATTCAACTAAGGTGTGCTGACAGACAAACACAGATAGTAAGACAATCTTTAAACAAGCTGGCCCAAGTTCCTGTTCTAGGCTTTCATGCTCTGAGCTAGGTTACTGTTAGGAGACAGTCGAAGCGATTTGAATCATATCTTGGTATGTAAACAATATAAATCCTTTAGGATAGTCATCAGCTCCTTTAATGTCTGAAGCGGATTAAAATCCGCACAGAAAAAAAAAATGAAAATAAGTATTTTGAATTGTTTTCAGTTTTTTTCTTTTCAGAAAAGTTTTGGATTATTTATATGTGGATTTTTGAAGCACTAAATATAGAAAACTCGTAAATATTCAGATAAAATCTAAACAAATATTTATTCCCAAGGTTAGATTTTGAACATTTTTCCGAGTCTAAAATGCATATCGATCGATCGAAGACAAATATTTTAGCTGTCTCATAAAGTCATTATCTTTATAAAGTCCTACTTGACTCGTCAATGAATTTGGACTCTTGAATGTCTTGAATTTGATATTTCTCATTGAGTGGTTTAAGTTCATTTTACAAGCAAATATGCAAGGCCATACGGATCGATTGCGCTCAGTTTTATTGTGAAATTATTTCGATCGAATCACGAACTTCCGTTAGAAAGAAAGGAATGATGGCGCCTGAAGGACACTAGAAGACGGYCAACAAACCTGTGACTAATTCTCAAGCCAACATCTAAGTTTATCGTTTGTRCAAGACATGAGACGTCTCACATTCTGGTAATGTTTTTAATGCGACTTTATATGATGATTCACAGTTTATTGAGCTATAACAAAAGGATTTTACTCAATGATTTATTAAATGCTAATTAGAAAACGGACATCACGGATAGACCTGTAGGCACGAATAGTCTAAATATCTCTGGCGGGAAAGGGATATGATGGCATCATGRATCAAGATAAATTGAAATGCTTCAATAAGTACAGATTTATTAATATAYCTTTAATGTTTTTGCATGTCGATATGATTAGTATACATGCATAAATGTATACTACAACGTTACTGTGTTGTGTTATGATCAAAAGTTCAACATCTTCATTATTGATGGTCTGCAATCATTCCCAAGAAAAGAAAATAACAAAGACACGGCGTCCATGTTGGGTGATATAACAAAAGTGACTAATGACGGATAGTTTGTTAAATTCATTCAACATGGCTGGCGGCTGCGATTACCATCAGTACTACACTAAACGTTTCTTCGATTCAATCTGAGTCATGTTTTGATTTTCCAAACCAGTCATATGCGACGATGTAGTGGAGTTGAATGAATGAATGTACTTTACAACATATAACACACTTTCTCTTTCACTTTGTTCTATAGAATTAATATTAGTTATTCTCAGGGTATCAAGGTTTACGTTTACTTGTATACGTTTCCATATTATATTAGCCATATTAATTTTTTTTCTTGGAATTTTTTTTTTCTAAAAGAAAGGTGTCCCGTACCTTTTATTACATTTCGGGAGTACTTATATTAAAGGATCAATGTGGCCAGACGAGCCAGTTGTCAGAAAGTCTCTCTTTTTGGGTCAACACTAAAGTACACGGCTCGYCTAGTGGGGTCAAGTGTTCGCCAACTTCATTCCATCTTTTGACATACGACATACACGAGACTAATTCGAGCAACATTCAGACCTAAGTAGGCCACGAGTTAATCATAAGTCAATAGTAAAAGAGATAACACTTAGAAACAAAACAGCGCTATCTCGAACACGTTACCACAAAAGTACGTTYAGTTTCTCGGGTACATCGTTGCACGATTTGGCGGGAAACGRTCACGTGATCACTGAGGCCAATCACAGCACTTGTTATTATTATAATAGTCCATGATAATATTCATTAGGATATTTTAGTCCAACTTTTAAGCGTTAATTCAAGTCAGTCTTCAAATTTACCAATGACTWAAGAAATAATACTCAAGAGAATAACACGAATAAAAATCCAAAGATCCTGTTATATCAAGAACATATTTCTAGCACATCTAGTATACATTCTCGTAATCAAAGCCTTCTCAGCTTGAAGCGTCTTTGGTACGAGAACGATCTAGTGTACATAATAATACTATATATTTTGTCAGCAGTGCACATAAGCAGTTGACCAAACAAGATTCCAACAATGTCTAAGTGAGTATCACACCAATACTCTTATGTTATAAAGCTGAATATTAAATTATCTATATTTATTAGAACGAAAAACATTATTCATCTTGGAATTGTAATAGATGATACTTGTTCATTTGTCTCACGATTGAGGGTCATTTGTAGAGGACCGAGACGTTTCGACTGCAAACTGATAGTCTTTATCAGGCGATGGTGTAGACTGAATGGTGGGTCTGTWATTACCCGTTGATCATCTGTATGTTGTGATTGGTTGGTCAGTTCGTGCTGTGATTGGATGTTTCGTTGTTGCGTCTTCACCCAGGGTGTTTTCTTATTGTCGATGCTTTATCGGATTTCCATACCACTGTCCGACAGTCTTACACCATCCAGTCTACACCATCACTCATTATGAATCTTCAGACAAACGAATGTAGTATCATATTTATAAATTAATAGTCCCCTTCACAGTTCCCTGCGCCATCTTGAAGGGTAGCCGTGTCTTTGCATCGAAGCGAGACGAACGGTGAGCTTGCAATGATAGAGACCTTTTTTTAACAYCTTGAACAATTATTCACACGTCTCTATCATTGCAAGCTCACCGTTTGTCTCGCTTCGATGCAAAGACACGGCTACCCTTCAAGATGGCGCAGGGAACTGTGAAGGGGACTATTCTTTATGTAATCGTCATAATTTAAACTAGGGARTTCTCACTTTCTTAATATTATTGTCTTATAYGCACTRTAAGTATTTTAGCCTTTAAAAACTAGTTTCGTTGTTACTGAATTCTTTATGTTTTCTACACCTAGTAAAAACAGTTCCAACACTGCAGGATTGCTAACTAAAGGGGAGATCGAAGYTTGGTGCGTAGTGTACGGTGTCGAGGGCTTCTTAATGGTGTTTGGAAACTTAATTGCAATCCTAGTATTTTTGATCAMTCCGTCTCTCCACAAACGAACGTACTACCTTCTAGTAAGCCTGGCCGTTGCGGACTTTCTAGTTGGTGCCTTGCCCGTACCCATGTTCATATACGCACTCGGTGCAAGTCATAATCTTTGGCCAAAAGATACTGACATCCAGGAAGCACAGACAATCGTTGAGGTATTTCAAATAATTAGTTTGTACGCTTTTGTCACAATGTTTTCTGATTGTGTATGATTGGGTTGAAACGGTTTTCACATATTTGAATAATTTTTTCATGTATAATGTTTTTTAACTATTTCATGATGATGATGATGATGATGATGATGATGATGATGRTGATGATGGTGGTGGTGGTGGTGGTGGTGGCGATAATCATGATAACCACTGATAATAACTGAARAAGAAGAAGATGATGATGATAATGGCGATGGCGATGATTTGATGATGATGATGATAATAATAATAATTATTATTATTATTATTAGATATGTGTGTCGTATGCTTCAATCTACTCACTCACAGCTATTGCTATTGAGAGGATGCTGGCTGTTGCCTTTCCATGGAAACATTCGATGGAAAATAAGGCAAGTACGATAGCAAAATGTAGTCGATAATAAAATGTTCAATTTCAACGTCAGAATCACGTGCTACTCGATTGTGTATGGTTCTTTTCTTTTCGCATTTTAACTAAACCCCGAGAAGATGTTTGGTATAGATGTAATTGTTTGAAATGGGAAAACATAAAATACACACAAAGTAAAAGGATCCATAAAAGAAATAATACTCAAGGGAATGACATGTGGTCTGAAATAAAAAACATATTACCCCCAATGTAGAAGGATCTATAAAAGAAATAATACTCAAGGGAATGACACGTGGTCTGAAATGGGAAAGCATTACGCCCAAAGTARAARGKTCTAKAAAAGAWATAATACTCAAGAGAATGACATGTGGTCTGAAATGAAAAACATATTACGCCCAAAGTAGAAGGGTCTATAAAAGAAATAATACTCAAGGGAATGACACGTGGTCTGAAATGGGAAAACATTACACACAAAGTAAAAAGTTCTAGAAAAGAAATAATACTTGAGGGAATAAGAGGCTGTTAATTAAGCTAATCTGAAAAACAAGAAATAATACTTACGTACTCACGATAGAGTTGATTGTTCAGTCTAACATGATTCCTTGCTTCGACTTCAGTCTTCGTACATCGCAGCCATCATCATCACGTGGCTGTTKTCCATCTTTACGGCATCTTTCGTAATCTTTTACAGAGTGAATGCTCAAGTCCAAACAGGTTTCTTCGTGACCATAATGGTAAGATCCATGTTGTTTTGATCTGTTTTTAACTAATTAAACAGCAGCTTATTTTGAATTTCGAATTCGATTAGTTGATGGAGCCGGTCAGGGGGGCGATTTGCGTTCGGTTTTGCTTCGGAAAATTACGTCAATTGATTGACAGCAGAGAAAATCCAATTGAACAACAAGTCGTTGAAATGATGATGCGGAAGAGGGTTACTATAGTTGGGTCTGATTTGGTGTACTATCATATAACAAGTGAATAAGAAGGAACTCAACTTAAACACCGCGTAATAAAGTTAATAGAGACCTTTAGATCCGACCACGAGAACGAGAACGAGAACGAGTACGAGTGTTTAACTTTTAAAGAGAGGCACTATCTTTTCGTAGTCGTGATCGTGTGCGTAGATTGAAACTTTAGATTGTAAAAAATCGGAAATCGACTACGATTCAGTGTTAACCACGAGCACAGGGCCAATTTTAAAACTCGTACTCGTACTCGATCTCGTACTCGTCGTCGTATCTAAAGGTCGYTAATAACTGCACTAGGGGCGGAAGTTATTCCTTTGTCGGACTAAAAGAGGAAATGTCTAAGTTTGCACAATGAATGTTACTGTAGAATCGCAGTAAAATCAGTAATTGTTTCTTGTTTTTTCCTAGGTATTGTTAGGTCTTTGTCTTATGATCACGTTAGTGTGTTATATAGTAAYCAGCGTTAAACTCCTTCGGCACAAAGAAGAGTTGTCATCATTGCCGAATAGAGAACACCGCGAGACTCAACTGGCCATCACTCTTCTGCTCGTCAGTATTGTCTTCCTCATCACTTGGCTACCATTCAAAGTCATCAACTACATTTATCATTTCGATCCAGACCATGCAAGGACATTGTCTTACCATTACATCCTTGCCACCAAGTTTCTTCACTACTTTAACTCGCTTGTCAATCCATTCATCTATGCTTTCCGTATTCCTGACTTCCAAAGGGGCTTGAAGAATCTCTTCTGCTGCTCAGGAGCCGGTGAGCCTGATCCGAATAAGGACGCGAACGGGGCATGGCATGTGAAGGGAGTCTACGGACAGGAGACCGCTGACAACGAKCATTCCATGACAACGGTATCGCGGGCTCCAAACTACTAAAAGAAGAAAAAAGGCTATTTTAGACATGCATCTCAAGATAAACAAATTAGACACAGCGCAAAACAAAGTAAAAAAAAGAAAAGTGCTAAAACACGGCTTCTTCCATTGCCAGCAACACTAATACTTCAATATTAACGGCTCAGTAATAATACTCAACTGATTAAACTTAATATTTTAAATAATTTTCTAATATTTTGAAAGACATTTCTATATCATGAAGCCATTATCTTCATTATTAACGCATAAGGCACAATTAATGATAGATATTTCATATTATATTATTATTCTATAATAATTGCTTCGCCTGGTGCTTCATGTCAGGCAAATATTAGTTACTATTGTTGCAAAGAACGACTTTTATAACAGACATGAAGTACGTATTTACCCCCGCAATAGTTACCAGTATCTCTCGGTTTGCACCGTTATGTAGTGTTTAAAAAACAAGTAGGAGTGTTTTATCAGGTATAAAAGCACGAGGCGYAGCCGAGTGCTTTCACACCTGATAAAACACGATCTACGAGTTTTTTGAACTGCTTAAAACACTCATGAACAATTTATAAGATTTTGGTTCAACTGGAGCCACCATACACGTCACGAACATGGATTTTTATACTTCAATACAAATTTGCCGTCATGGGCATGCGCAACCAGATTCAATAGAAGCTCCCACACGTTGGATATTGCGTGCCAAGGCAAAGACAGGCACGTTAGTCAAAGATTATTAGGGTTGACTATGACCTTGATGAAGCTCTATGTCTTCATCTAAACTTGGATGCATACTTCATCCCTGATGAAGTCATCCTCATAGTATTCGAGTGGTCTTTATATAAAGATCACATGTGTCTTTATATAAAGACACATGTGTCTTTATATAAAATCACTTGTATACTAATGAAGAGGACTTTATCGGGTATAAAGGTTCATGCACGTGACGTGTATGGTGGCTCCAATTGGACCATAAGCTTATGAATGATTAATGAGTGTTTTAACATTATATACAGTTTATAACTTTATCATGTTATCATTGTTTATAGTGCTTAGAACAGACCTGAATAAGCGCTTTACAAATGATTATTATATATTATTATTGCGTCTACGAATTTGCAGTGCATCGTTTTCCACTCAAACGAAAACTGCTGTATTCTAAGTACTGGTAGTAGAATGATGCCATRCACTATGTACGGTTTTGATACGTGTGATAAGTGTAAATAAGCAATATAACACGCAGCAGCATACAATTATTGAATATATTCCAAATGTCTTCATAAACTAGAAGGGAGAGAAGCCGATCCCGTCATATCTTCCTTTTAAACATATTTTCTTTTGAAATGCAACAAAAAATCAAACAACAAAAMYTTTTTAAAATCCAATATGGCGGCTATGACGTCACATGCACTCTAGCCAATAAGGACAGCGTGATTGTTCGGTATCGTGTCCGAGGATACTGATTGGATAAGCAATGAACTGCACATAACATCTCATTTAATATCTTCATTTATACGATATATATGTAAAATAATACAACGTTATGTGAAATAAAAATGTTTTCTGGTATACGTTTTGGCTTCAGTTCATCAAAACTACATTTATTCTTGGTTTCAATTTAATAAATTTTGAATCATAATTAAAATACCAAAAAACGCAGACGTGTGTACATCTTCAGTGCAAGACGTGCTATCAATCGTTCTATTAATATCTTTTTGTCACTCGCACTTTTATGTTTAGGTTGCGACCTCACGTACGAAAAAGCGTGACTGTGAAAACATGCGCTGGTAGGGGAGTTCGTTTCTCTTTTAACTGTTTCACGTACTAAGTCTCTTTTCAAAGAGCTTTTCAACTTTTCCTAATGGTACTTGTTCGCTGTCGGTCTCGTGCCAGTATATAGCTTTAGATGGAGTTTACCACCCATTTTGGGCTGTTTTCCCAAACAACCCGACTCAGCTAGGGAACAGCGAGTAATTATACTGGGAAAGACGACAAGCCTTTGATACAGCATAATGCAGATACTATCTTAGCAAACAGGAAATGTTATACTGGCCTTGTTTACATAGCCAAACGACGGCTATCTGGAAACAATTCGCTGTACAAAAGTGATTTTGTTTTCCAAAAATAGTTTTACCACGAGTAAGAGAAAGTCGTTGGACATCTCAAAAGCGCGAATCATTTCCTTATAGCGAAACCGGAAAAATTCTGTTTGGTTGAAAAATTCTACTTTAATCATCAGTACATTGCGCGCCAGTCCTATGGCCATAGAGTTATTAACCAATCAAAACGCCCGTTATACTTTAGCTATGATATAATAAATGCTAATTTTTGACAGACAGACAGACAGACACATACAACTTTAGTCCATAGTAGACAGAAATTTATTCAAAATGACAAAAAACTTTGTACAGAGCAGACAACCGACGAACGCAATGCAAGACAAACTAGAATGATAATAACAAATGCGTTTTATCCCATTGGAATACACTTTTTTTTCAAAAGTTTAACAAAACTATGATAAAAAAGCTGTCGAACACAAACACCTTTCTCACCATAATTGAGCAACCCTAATCACCTTTCGCAACGAGTGGGAAAATCAATTTTCTTACACGTACCAAATCAACATTTAATAAAGTGTAATGATAAATAATGGCCTACTCTTATATCATGTGAGGACTTCAAATTTCCGCTTCGTACATTGTGTTTAATTTCAACTTGCCGACAGTCTCCATAGAAAATTTTGTTTCTAAATTTAGCTCTATAACTCAATATAACAAAAATTGAAATAGTTATTCTCCAATTTTTAAAGCCTGGATCTATCGAGCTTTTCCCAGTAAATAAATAACCTCACCAAGCTTTCGCGAATTTAAACGCCTTTATTTTGAAAGTGCTTTGTAACGTTAATAATAATATTACAATATTGGCAGATAAAAGTGAAGTATATTTGAATTGGTACGAAGTATCATRAAATTAAATTCTAGCAAATATCTATAATTTATGAGGGAGCTAAAGTGATCGAAATAAAGCTCGCGTGCCATGGATAACAGCGGGTGATGGTTTCCACCTGTCATCCCGTTATCACGTAGGCAGTGATGGGTTTTTCTTCTTGTACGTGCTGCGTGCATCCGTTTTTCATTTACTTCTACTAACACTGGAAGTTCAAAGTCCTTAGCTTTGAAGCACTTGTCTGGTGGAAGCGGGACAAGGACAGGTAAATAGTAAAGCTGCTCAAAATTGTAAATGAGGTATACGGATAGGTTACTGGAGACCTAAGGTAAGGGATCCTGCTTCGGAAGAGCAACATTTAAATTGCGTAATGATACAATTGTATAAAATAATTTTATTATAAAACGACATCGAATTGTTTGCATCTTCTTGGTTCGATCTGTGAGCTAGTCATGCCCTGACTTAGATCAGCCCAGAGGTTGTTCCAGGGTTCGATCTGTGAGTTAGCCGTGCCCTGACTTAGATCAGCCCGGAGGTTGTTCCAAGGTTCGATCTGTGAGTTAGCCATGCCCTGACTTAGATCAGTCAAAGGTTGTTTCAGGGTTCAATCTGTGAATTATCTGTGCCCTGACTTAGATCAGCCCAGAGGTTGTTTCGGGGTTTGATCTGTGAGTTAGCCCTGCTTTGAATTGAAAACTTAGGACTTCATTTACTTTGCTAGGCAAGAATTTCAGCTACAACTTTACCGTAGCCGCATTACAGACTATTGTGTAAGCTCGCACGATTTCTGATAAAGTACTTTGCAAGATTGGTGTACAATTTGCTTCGCTTAGTAAACTCCTTAGAACTTCAATAATAATGTGAAACAAAAATGATGAAAAATGAGAACTTGCGAAATACAAATTTTAAAAAATAGTCTTAATTTTTTCAGTTCAAATCTCTAAACAAATTACAGCAAGACAATAAGTCAGAAAAAAAATATTCAATTGCGAAAATAACTTAACACCTAAAAATCCTCCATATTGCCGATAGAAGTTAAAGGATTTACARCAGAAAATAAAACATGACAAAAATAAGACTTTTATCTAGATTGTTTGTTGCGCAAAAATGATTTTCCGTGTCTTTGATGATTGCAGAGATTAGAATTGGTAAAATGACAGCTGCTGTTAAGGTTTTGATCTTAATGTATGATAGAGACAATATCATCGTCCTCTCTGTTCAGTCCGTACATGGACATTTTATCATGCGTTGAATAAACTACGTATTAGAAATAGGATATGAGAGTTGCTAATTATCTTAATCTTCTACCTGTGAATATCKTATTAACAATATTGTCGTAATAATTATGGAACGAATTTCCAAAGTATAAATATTTAAAATGCAAAA